AAAAAAAAATCTAGTCATTGACCTGTGTAGTATGTTAACACTATTGGAAGTAAAAATAACTTGAACTCCAATTTTGAAAACAGCTCTGATTTATATTATGAGTCTGTGGTCTGGGAGAGAGTCCTGTAACTGTCTGCAAAATATCGTATATAATGACCAATGCTGGGCAGTTAATTATATAGTTACTTCTTCAAAAAAGTAACTGAGTTTGGCAAACAACAACGTTTTTTGAAGCTATTTTTTTTAAATGCAGCCAAGGCAGGTTTAAATGAACATTTCAAACTATTTACAGAACAATTAGCTGTTCTGCATCAAATTTAATGCCACACAAATTATTTGTGCCACTCCGCCGTCACTCCTAAAACTTCCCCTAAAACTTGCCATATCATTTTTTGATTGGTCGACATGGTACTTTTTTTGGACGAATAGGAAAGGGAGAGGGGGGTGGAGTTTGTTTTTGCTCACAGGTGGAGAGTGCTTTCATGCCTTTTTTCTCATAAAACGCCGTTTTTACCGTTTCTTCCCGCAGTAAATATAAACAACGATAGTATTCAGCAAGGAAACCAAACATTGCAGACATTTTTATCATAACTCTGGTTTTATGTGGCCTATCAACACAATTTAAAAACTGGTATAAAGTCCACACTTTTTCCGTCAATTGTTCCGTCTGTCCTGCTCACATCTCCAATGGTCGTACACGTTGTCATTAACGTGGCTTCACTCCACATCAGCCACGCCGCTTTGCTCGCTAAAACACCGGTGTCGGCACATAAAGACGCTGTCATAGCCTGTCAACTACGTTGATTAGCTGTGTATATACGAATGTGAATCGCATTATTGGCTGAACTATGGGATAAGGTGGCATCGTTCTAATCCCATACGGGAGCATCCAGTCACTCACTGACTAACACTGCAAAAAAGAATAGTTAAAGTATTAATTTTAATTTCAATTCAGGTTAGATTTTTTTTTGTGTGTGTGCAAAGCAGATTTTCTGTGCGCAAAGACCGTGCCAGCAGTGCGCAATTGCGGAATTTCATTCCTCTTCTCTCCAAAGCATACCTCCCCCTCTCCAGACTCTCTTCAACCTTCTACCTGTCCATCATCACTGCAAACAAGAATGGGCTCAGAGCTGATTCCTAAATTAATCCTACCCGCACCTTAAACACATCTTACCATCTCACCATGTCTTCATACATGTCCTGTAGTGATGGGTCGTTCGCGAACGAAATGGCTCTTAGAGCCTTAATATTTTAATTTATATTTAATTGTGTTGTGGTTTGCAGTGTTTTGTGTTGTTTCACGTTAAATTTGTTTAAAAGGAAAAAGCTGAAAATTTAAATAGTTAAAAATTTAAAATGTAAATAGTTGTTTTTTGTATTATATGATTTATTTATTATATTTTATGTGGAGTGAATAA